GTGTCCATCTACAACTAAAAATAAATAAATAAATAAATAAATAGGGCTTTCATCTTAAACAGTGAAAAACTATTGGAGGTTTTGAACAGGCAGTGCTGATCTGAAAGCTAGGCAGGTAGTTCTTAGATTTTATTGCCCATAAAAATCTCTTTTTTAAGAGGAGCATTCCCAGCCTTCACACTTAGATTCTGATCACATAGGTCTGAGATGAGGTCTGGGAAGCAATATTTTTAACAAGGGCATGGAACCATACTTTGAGAAACAATGGACTAACAACTAAAGGAGAAATATTAGGCAGCTGTTATACCAACAGTATAAAAGAGAAAAAAAAGGGAGTGGATGTAGCTCAAGGGAGAAAACTGCTTATGCCTAACACACACACACACATATATCTTAAGAGCACTAATTTAGCAACACATGCAACAGTAGAACATAGTCATTGTTTTCTAATAATTTTTCCAGAAATAATTCATCCTACTCCTAATTTTGGTTGTTACATATTAGTCCTGAGTTCTGCTGGTAAAGTAAAAAATTAGAAGGAATTAAAATTAGGTTTTATTTAAAATGCTAAAACTAAGGGAGCCATTCCCTTCCTTTAATCTCTTTCTAGGTTAAGTTACTCAAATTAATCCATGCCTGTACTTCCAGCACCTTGGGAAGCAGAGGCAGAGATATTGCAAGTTCGAGGCCAGCCTGAGTACCTTAATGAGACCCTGTCTCAAAATTTAAAAAAAGTTCTGGAGAAACTTTTGCAAATTTCCTGGACCTCTTTCTTCCTTTTTTTCTTTTTCTTTTCTTTTTTAAAATTATTCCTATTACTGGGGATTAAACCCAGGGGTATTCTACCACTAAGCTGTACCCCCAGCCCTTTTTATTTTTTGAAACAGGGTCTCACTAACATGCCCAGGCTGACCTCAAACTTGTGATCCTCCTGTCTCAGCCTCCTGAGGATCTGGGACCATAGGCATGAGCCACCACACCCGGTTGCTTCTTGTTCCCTTGCATCTTATCTTGGCCCTGTCTTGGTTTTCAGTTGTATGTGGGCATTTCTTGGTGTGTCTTTTTCTCAATGTCTTTTTCCCATCTCATCGCTCCCTTCTTATGTCTTTCTCTTCCTGTGTTTCTTTCTTCTATCCCCTCTTTGCCATCCCATTCCCTCACTCTCTCTGCTGTCTTCCCTTAAAATAATTTCTCTCATTTTTCCTTCCTCCTTTAACTCACCAGTGAGGTGCTAGCTCTGTTTATAATGTAAAAACTGATATTGAGCCAGGTGCAATGGCATACACCTGTAATCCCAGCAACTCAGGAGGCTGAGACAGGAGGATCTTGAGTTTAAAGCCAGCCTCAGCAACTTAACAAGGCCCTAAGTAACTTAGTGAAACCCTGTCTCTATGTAAAATACAAAAAGTGGCTGGGGAGGCCAGGGTTGTGGCTCCGTGGTAGAGCACTTGCCTAGTGCCACCCTCCTCCTTCACTGCCTTCTATACCTCATATGTATCTGTCCCCAGCTACTGCACTGGCTATACTGCATCACACCAGGGCTCATATGTTCTTCTACATAAGAGAACTTAGTTCACCTTTCCTTTGAGCCAAGGGCCTCCAGTTCTTCTATGATGTTTATAGAATGTTCACTTCCTTTCTCATCTTTCCTGAGATTCAACACTTTGCAAACTATTGATTTTGCTCTGGAGCTGGGGATTAAACCCAGGGGCACTATACCACTAAGCTGCACCTTATTTTAAAGATGCTCACATCTATAATCCAAGTAATTCGGGAGACTGAGGCAGGGAGATTGCAAATTCAAGGCCACTCTTGGCAATTTAGGGAAACCCTGTCTCAGAATTAAAAAAAAAAAAAAAAAAAAAAGGTCTGGGGATACAGCTCAGTGGTTAGAGCATCCCTGGAATCAATCCCCAGTGGCAAAAAAAGAAAGAGAGAGGGAGGGAGGGAGAGAGAGAGAGAGAGAGGCTCTTATTTTTACATATGAGAATTTTTTTTATTCTGCCTGGTTCCAAATAAGAAGGTCCCAGTGCCAGAAGATAGCTCTCCTCTAAGCAGGAGGCTTCCTGTAGTACAGGAGGGCCCTCTGTGCTCATCCAGCATACAAATCACCTGGGAGCTTTCAAATGAGAAAAGACCTGGGTGACCCAGAGGGTGGTATTTATAAATAGTACTCCAGCCCTCACCTCCCTTAAAGCCTGTCTACCTAATCCTCCTCTCTCAAGATTGGAAGAGACTTGACCTTTGAGTCTTAAAACTTAGGCTCCTTTCTCTGAAAAATATGGTTAGCAAGAAGCTGTTAAGACAAAAATGTTTCAGCCAAATGATAACCAGTCATCAAAACTCACCTTTCTATTTCTAGTATTTTTAGCCAGATGTTTCCTCTTTTGAGGATCACCTGTTCTTTTTATTATTTTAAGACACTTACCTTGATAATTTTTATTTGCTATAGGCTATTATGAATTTGCATCTTATAATTTATAAATAAGTTCCCCATATTCATCCCCATGAACTAAGAGCCTTCCTTTTCTTCCTTTGTTTTCTCAGGGCTGGGGTGGGACCCAGGGTCTTGCCCATATTAGGCAAGAGCTCTACGCTGAGCCACACTTCCATCTTCAAGCCTTCCTTTTCACCTCAAAAATTACAGAACTTGAAGAGGCCTTAAATAGCCTTCCTCTAACACCTTTGTATGGAATGCTTTGTATTTCTCTAATTTTGTATTAAATATTGAGGATATAATCTTACAACTCTTGTTAGGATTGTAAAAGGAAGCACTTGAGATAGACACTGATTGCCATAATCACAGCAACTTGGGAGGCTAAGGCTGGAGGATTGCAAGTTTGAGAGTCCCTAAGCAACTTAGTGTGACCCTGTCTCAAAATAAAAGATTTAAGAAAGGTCTGGAGATGTGATTCAGTGGTAAAGCACCCCTAGGTTAAATCCTCAGTAAACTCCCCCAACAAAAAAAGAACCCAGGCTGATTTCAAATTTGTAATCCTCCTGCCTTGGCCTTCCAAGTAGCTGGGATTACAGGTGAGCACCACCACACTGAGCCTCAGAAAGGAATGATTTTTTTTCGTATTTTTTACTGGTACATTATAATTATACACCATGGTGAAATTTATTGTTACCTGCATACAATATAATTTAGACAATATCATACCCCTACATTTCCCCTTTCCCTCCTCTCTTCCCTCTCTCTGGTCCCTAAAAGTGGGTAATTCTTGAACTAGCCAGAGATTTTTTTTTTAAATAAAAGATAATCAATTATATCTTTAACTTGATTACTTATAAAGAGAAGAGCACTGGGCTATGGAAACTAACAGTGTATTTTTAGCTGATTCTCTCCCTTAGTCTGAAATGGAGAAACATCAAATTCACTCTTCACTGAATGTCAGATAAAAGACTAACTTAAAACTTTCTTCTTTTTAGGACTTACTAGACAGATGGAAAAGTGATCTCTAGTCTCAGGCTTTTCTTATTGACCTGGGTCAGTGTTTTCTGGAAGTTGCTGGGTCTGATCTAGGAAACCCCTTCTCCAAGGTATTTCTCACATTAGTTTTACTAGAATGCCCCTCCTGTCTGTGAGTCTGGAACTGTGGGGGTAATTCCCATTTTGTTTAGTTTTATTGTTTAATTTTAAGAAGTCTGATGCCCATATCACTGTAATGGGGACATGGGATGTTCCCTGTTATGTCAGAATGAGAAGTCTCTCCTGAGTTGTCTGAATAAGGACTGTTTCTTCTAGAAACCTTGGGCTTACATGTCTAGGACATGTCTGTTAGATCTGAACTCAGAATAAGTTGACAGGGCAATATTATCTGTTGTTTTCCCCTCTCCAGTTGGAGAAGCTTCTCTTAATATACAGAAACCCCAGGACTGGTAGGCGGATTTGTAGTACTTGGAACTGAGAGACATGACCTAAGCAGGATCATATATTTTTTAGTTGCCTTTGAATTTAAGTAGAAAAAAAGATGGGGAGTGTGGCTCAGTGGCAGAGTACTTGCCTAGCATGCAAGAGGCCTAGCAAGAGAAAGAAAAGGTGGAGTTTGGAAATATGAAGCGGAGAAGGCCAACTAGCTATGGGTAGAGGATCTGCAGTGCCTAGAGACCTGGTGAACACACAGGTGAGTTGATTAGGACCTGCACCCCCAAGAGGAGAAATATGCAGTCAAGTTGAGGGCATAGGAAGCTAGAGTCCTCATCTCATTCCAGGTGCTCTGCTGGACAGCCCTTTGTTATCCCTTGTGATTCTCCTATATGACAGCAAAACCTAGAAGGAATCTCTCCAGAGGGTTAAATGTAGTGCCAGTGCACATGAGATGTGCGTCAGCTGTGTTGGGCTGGGCTCTCCACTGCCAGCCAGCCAAACAATGAGAAAGTGTGCCAAGGTATCTGGGGCTTTTGGAACTGCTTGGAAGGGCCACAGAGCAGAAAGGGCAAGTTGGCTGCCTCTCACTCCACATGGAAGGACTCCCAAGTTCTTGTATGACTCCAGAACTGGACACCCCAGGCGTACAAGACTAGGCCTCACACTGTCTCTAGTTGCACCAGGGTGAAAAGAGAAGGATCTGCCCTCCTACCTGCCACAGTGCCGTGTAGTCTCTGCCTCCCCCAGGGAGAGAGACAACAGGGTCCTGTGGGAAGAGTGTTGAGTTGCTAAATAGCAAAGAAAAACTATATCAATATGTGAACTGTATTTAGTTGGCACTCAATCTACAAAATTTACAAACATTAGCCATCTTTCACAGATTTGGCCTTTAATCTTGGAAAATACTTCTTTATCTTTTTTTAAAGAGAAAAGACATGATTTATTTTCTTGTTTACCTTTTTGTTGTCTTTAAACAAAAAAGCTTGAGACTATCTTTGGGAGAGGGGATGGTTGGGAGGGTGTTAGGACTGAACCCAGTAGTTTTTTTAGGGGAGGGGGTGTACTGGGGATTGAACTCAGGGTCACTCGACCACTGAGCCACATCCCCAGCCCTATTTTGTATTTTATTTAGAGACAGGATCTCAGTGATTTACTTAGCCCTTCACAGTTGCTGAAGCTGGCTATGAACTCAAGATCCTCCTGTCTCAGTCTCCTGAGCTATGAGTATTATAGGCATGCGTCACCATGCCCAGCATGAACCCAGTAGCTTTACCATCCTTTTTACTTTTTGAGACAAGGTCTTGCTAAGTTGCCCAGTCTGGCCTTGAACTTGCCAGATACATTTTTTTAAGCTTTATTTTTATAAAGTCATATGTATCTACCATTCAAAGAGTCAGTTCACCAAGTTTCTAATGAAGAGCAATATGCTCTGTCCTCATACCCTATTTTCTACTAAAGACTATTTTTCATTCTTCTTAGCTGATTAATTTGGTGTTTATCTTGGTATTTCTAAAAAGCACCCTGTGGCTACACTCTAGTGTTTCAGTTTTAAGTATTATTTATTGATTTTCTGCTATTGAAAATGATGGTTTTGTTGTTTATCCACACTTCATTCCTGCATGCCTTCCTGTTCCGTGTCTTCCCAGAAAAACCATACTGAAGCTGTAGTCTGTTTTTTTTTTTGTTGTTGTTTTTTTTTTTTTTTTGTGTGTGTGTGTGTGTGTGTGTGTTGTTGTTTTTGTTTGTTTGTTTGTTTGTTTTGGTTAAGGTAGTGGTAGTAGTGGTGATACTGCAGATTGAACCCAGGGCAGCTCTATCACAGAACTACATTCCTAACCCTTTTATTTTTTATTTTGAGGACAGGGTCTCACTAACTTGCAGAGGCTAGCCTCAAACTTGCAATCTTCCTGAGCTGCTGGGTTTACTGCATGCACTACTGTAGTCCATTTTGATCATAATGACTGTGTTAACACTATTTACAGTGAAGCCATGTTGTGTCCCATGACTACTCTTTCCTTCTAATACAACCTTTGGTTTTTCCCTGATATCAGTAATTGTATTGTTTTGTGATTCATTTGTTTAGGTGTCCTATATTATATACTAATTTGACCCCAGACTCCCCTAATTATGTGGATCTCCTTTCTGTACAAATGCATTGGGTATTCTGTGAAGTTCACCTTATGGAGAGAAAGCCTATCTCTTGCTTCTGCCCTGCTCTCTTCTGCTCCTGGGCCAGGCACTCAAGATTTCTTGTCTTGGGACCTTCAGCACCACCACTCCAGTTCCCATGCCTGCCTCTTGTGTTAGAGCTCTTGCTTCCTGGATCCCGTGTAATCTTCTAACTTTGATTTTTTGGGGTTTTTGTTTGTTTTTGTTTTTGTACTGGGGATGAAGCCCAGGGGTGCTTAAACACTGAGCCATATCCCAGCCCTTTTTTATATAGAAACAGGATCTTGCCAAGTTACTTAGGGCCTCTCTAAGTTGCTGAGGCTGCTTTGAACTCGAGATCCTCCTGCATCAGCCTCCCTAGCCACAGAGATTACAAACATGAGCAACTGCACCAGGTTCCCTGTTGTTTTGGTAGAGGTTGTTATTGTCAGTTTATTGAAAAATTAAACAATATTTTCAGTTTGTATCAAAAATTGTTTCCCTGAGAATATTAAAGGCACTGCTCAAATTTTCTCTCATTCTCCAGGGTTCCTGTTGAAAAGTCTGATTCATTCTGATTTTTTTTTTCTTTTCCCATTATGATTTTGATCCTTTATATGACAATTTCTTTTTCCTTTGGAAGAAAACTTCTCTTTAACTTTGATATTCTGCACATTCACTAAGATGGGAATTGGACATTTGTAGAACATTTACAGTCTGGGAAGTTTTCTTGAATTGATGTATTGATGACCTTCCTGCCCCCTTATCTCTGCTTTGTTTTTCTAAAACTCCTGTTAGTTAATAATTGGACCTTTTAGATGCCCACTTTTTGCATATCTACTCTTTTCTCTCCTTGTCTTTTTCTTTCTCTTTCTGAGAGCTTCCTTCTGCTTTATCTTCTAACCCTTGCATTGAGTTATGTGGTTCCTCCATGAAAATATGTTTTTCTAGAGGATATTTTTTCCCAAACTTATTTTTTTTAATTAGAACAGGAATCTCTTTAATAAATTATATGTATTTTATTCTTTTTTAGTTTTGTTTTGTTTTTTATTTATTGTTTTAGTTTTATTTTAATTAGGTATATGATAGCAGAATGCATTTTGATTCATTGTACACAACTGCAGCACAACTTTACATTCTATGATTATACATGATGTAGCGTAACTCCATACGTGCAGTCATATATGTACCTAGTAGGGTAATAATGTCCATCTCATCCCACCATCTTTCCTACCCCCATGCTCCCTCCCTACCCCTCCCTACCCTTTGCCTCATCAAATTTCCTCCATTTTTCCCATGTCCCCCTGCCCATTATGGATCAGTATCCACTCATCAGAGAAAACATTTGGCCTTTGGTTTTGGGGGATTGGCTCACTTTATTTAGCATGATATTCTCCAACTCCATCCATTTACCTGCAAATACTATAATTTCATTCTCTTTTAATGCTGAGTAATATTCCATTTTTTATATATATATATATACATATATATATATCACAGTTTCTTTTTTTTTAAGAGAGAGAGAGAATTTTAATATTTATTTTTTTTTAGTTTTTCGGCAGACACATATCTTTGTTTATATGTGGTGCTGAGGATCGAACCTGGGCCACACACATGCCGGGTGAACGTGCTATCGCTTGAGCCAGCCCTCTCACAGTTTCTTAATCCATTCATCTATTGAAGAACATCCAGATTGCTTCCACAGTTTAGGTATTGTGAATTGAGCTGCTATAAACATTGATATGGCTGCATTACTATAGTATGCTGATTTTAAGTCCTTTGGGTATAGACTGAGAAGTGGCATAGCTGGGTCAAATGGTGGTTCCATTCCAAGTTTTCTAAGAAATCACCATACTGCTTCCCATATTGGTTGCACCTGTTTACAGTCCCACCAGCAATGAATGAGTGTACTTTTTCCCCCATGTTGAACATTTTTTCATATATTTGTTGATCAAATGTATATCTTCTTCTGAGAAGTGCCTTCAGCTCCTTAGCCCATTTATTGATTGGGTTTTTTTTTTTTTTTTGGTGTTAAGTTTTTTGAGTTCTTCGTATATCCTGGCGATTAGGGCTCTATCTGATGTGCATGTGGCAAAAATTTGCTCCCAAAAGGTAGGCTCTCTCTTCACTTAATTGGTTGTTTCTTTTGCTGAAAAGCAGCTTTTTAGTTTGAGTCCATCTCATTTATTAATTCTTGATTTTATTTCTTGTACTTTAGAAGTCTTGTTAAGGAAGTTGGGGCCTAATCTGATGTGATGAAGATTTAGGCTGCCTTTTCCTCTATTAGGCACAGGGTCCCTGGTCTAATTCCTAGGTCCTTGATCCACTTTGAGATTTGGGTTTTGTGCATGGTGAGAGATAAGGGTTTATTTTCATTTTGCTGCATATGGATTTCCAGTTCTCCCAGCGCCATTTGTTGAAAAGGCTATCTTTTCTCAGGATGTATTTTTGAATTGGCATTATTGACTCATTTGTTTTGCCAAATGATACAAGAACTAGAAAATATAAATACTTAGGTTAGAAGATTTTTTGGACTGAGAATATACTAGCCTCATATATTATAACCTTCAGCCAGAGAAAATCACCAAAAATATACACAATCACTTATATATAACATCTAGTGCCTATAAGGTTATGCCTTGCCACTTCCTGCCCCCCCCCATGGTACTGGGGATTCCAGAAGCGCTGAATCACATCCCCAGTCTGTTTTATTTTTTATTTTCAGTCAAGGTTTCACTCAGTTGCTTAGAGCCTTGCTAATTTGCAGAGACTGACCTCAAATTTCAATGCCTCCCAAGTCACTGAGATTTTCAGTGTGCATCACCACACCCATCTTTAATACTCCTCTTAAAAGTTTGCATCTGAAAAAATAAAAATAGTGATGGCCGAACCAGGAAAACATTTTAAAAGTTTCCATTTGTCTATATTCTCTTTTTTCCTTTAAATTGCTTTTTTCTTTGTTTTGGTTCGTTTTTTCAGAGTAAATGCCTTCTTGAATTTCTGGTGATATTTCACTATCTTCTCATTTTTAAAAGCAGGACTGGGGCAGTAGCTCAACTATAGAACACTTGCCTAGTATGTATAAGGCCTGGGTTCAAAAAAAAAAAAAAAGCAGAACTTCTGTGCTTATGATTGAAGCTTGTGCACCATGATTTTCACTTTAGGGGGACCCACATGTGTCATTTCCTTCAGGGACTAGGTCTTTGGGGTAATCATATTCAGTTGGTAAATTGTAAATTTTTCGATGTTGATTTTCTGTCCCTTTCTTGGAATTTCTAGGTGCGTGCAGTCTTTGGATTCTTATATTGTAGATAAAAACATCTCCTGTAGGTCTCTGCACCTTCTTTTAAACATCTTTTGGACTCTGCATATTCTTTCAACTTTCTTGGCACTTAGCAGTTTGGGAAACTTGCTAAAAAACTAAACAAGAAAGTAGAAGCAAATACATGATCCATAGAGTACAAAATTGGAATCACTTTCAGAGCCTTGTTTTTCCTTAATTATATTTGATCAGAAATTGGATGAACCTTCGAGATGCTGAGACAGGGAAAATACTCTGGCAAGGAACAGAAGACCTGTCTGTCCCTGGTGTGGAGCATGAAGGTACTTTCTAATACCTGTGTTCACAGGGCTGTAGTCAATACCAGAACCAGCTCTGGGCATCAGGAAGCTAAGTAAATGCATACCTAATAAGTGTGTGAGCCCTGATAGCATAACGTGCAAATCCACATGTTGCTGGCATTTTTTGTTCCTTTCTTATATTTTTTCCCACTTCCCATTTTGTGTTGAAGTTTTAGCATTAGAATAAACCTAAAGATGTGAACTAAGATCTCAACTTTTTTTCCAAAAGAAAATATGCATTTTTATCTCCCTGAAGTAAAAGAGAAAGCAGAGTTAAAATTGAGAGTAGAGGGGCTGTGGCTGTGGCTCAGCAGTATAGAGTTTGCCTAGCATGTGCGAAGCACTAGGTTCAATCCTCAGCACCACATAAAAAATAAAATAAATAATTGAGAGTAGAGTCAGGCACAGTGGCACACACCTGTAATCCCAGCTACTCAAGAGGATGAGACAGGAGCATCGCAAGGTGGAGGCCAGCCTCAACAATTTAGTAAGACCCTGTCTTTAAAAGGGCTAGGGATGTATCTTAGTGCTAAAGCTCTTGTCTATTATGCATAAGGCTGGGTTCAATCCCAGTTATATAACAACAACAACAAACTACGAAAAGAATAAAAAGAGGGCACCCATGCAGCCCTGTGCCTGGTGAAGGCAGCTACACAAGGCCCTAAGAGGCACCAAATCTGGTATTCCTTGAAGATCTTTCAGGTGCAGTGGGTGCATTCGAGTTCTCTCCCTTCAACTGAAGTTTCATGCAGTTACAGGGGAATTATCTGTAATATAATTTCCTAAATCAGCAGTAACAAGTTCCCAGAAACTTGAGGCATCATTGTCATATTGTTTTATGTAGAATAGATCCAACATTTCTATTTCTTTTATCAGCTCGTGTTCCCAAGAAAATCCTCAAGTGCAAGGCAGTGTCTCGAGAATTGAACTTTTCTTCAGCAGAGCAAATGGAAAAATTCCGTCTGGAACAAAAAGTTTACTTCAAAGGGCAATGTCTAGAAGGTATTCTGCTGCCTACATACCTGAAATCAGGGCTTAGATGGAATTGGGACAAAAAGCAAAGGAGTGTTTTGAAAACATTCATTTTTCAACTCAGTTTGTAATAGAATTTTTACTCTCTTCAAGATCGGGGACCCCCAGTGAAAATAAACCCAAAACAAGTCTGGCTATGATAAGAGGCTTCAAGGTCCCTGACACTGAGAGTCTGGGCATTGGTGCCTGACTTGGCACTGATATGATATTTTGACATGGTCGTGGAAAAAGCAGCTGTGCTCAGGTCTAGTGCAGTGCTGTACATATAGTGCCACAAGTAAGATTCAACTGCAAGGGCACCCTGCATTGAGTTCTCCCCATAAAGCCTAAGAGGGCATTAGGCACTTTAGCACTAAAGTTCTGAGTGAGAAAGTCTACCTCTGTTTTAGTTCACATTCAGTCTGCTTTTAAGAAAATGCTGCTTACCCTGTGTCCTGCTTACTTGTCCTCCTTTGCTAAGCCACAAGAAGCAAGCCTCTGGCACTACTCAGAGGACCACCTGAGGGGACTTCCTCATCCTTTCTTATGCCTTTAGGGTCTGGAAAGTTTCTGATCACTAACTTCAGTAGTTCTGGAGTAAAAAGAGGTCACCTCTAAAGGGAGACAAAGAGCCTGGTAACTTTATTTGGGGGCACTGCTCACCAGCTTTTCCTTCTTCCCTCAGAATGGTTCTTCGAATTTGGCTTTGTGATCCCTAACTCCACAAATACCTGGCAGTCCTTGATAGAGGCAGCACCTGAGTCCCAGATGATGCCAGCCAGCGTCCTAACGTGAGTGAGGTCCCAGGAAACTGCAAAGTATATTTCAAAGCAGGCATTCCAGGCCCAGGGAGCCCCTGATCCTGGTCAAGGGGGCAGAGAACTAGGTTGAGAAATAAAGGTAAAGGAGTATCCAGGGATGTCTTAATTTACAGGTTACTGACTTTTGTTCTATAAAAAAGATAGTGTGGCCAGGCGTGGTGGCGCATACCTGTAATCCCAGTGGCTTTGGAGACTGAGAGGAAGATCACAAGTTGAAAGCCAGCCAGAGCAAAAGTGAGGCACTAAGCAACTCAAGTGAAACCCTGTCTCTAAATAAAATACAAAGTTGGGCTGGGGTTGTGGCTCAGTGGTCGAGTGCCCCTGAGTTCAATCCCTAGAATCCCCCAAAAAATAAATAAATAAATAAGATAGTGTGATAAGAACAGAAAGAATAAAAAACTTTGGGTTGTGGCTCAGTGGTAGAGTGCTTGCCTAGCACATGTGAGGCCCTGGGTTCAATCTTCAGCACCACTAAAAATAAATAAAATAAGATGTTGTGTCTATCTAAAATGAAAAAAAAAATTTAAAGAATCAAAAACTTTTGATTAGACCACATTTTAAATTCCTGGGGCTGGGGATGTGGCTCAAGCGGTAGCGCGCTCACCTGGCATGCGTGCGGCCCGGGTTCGATCCTCAGCACCACATACAAACAAAGATGTTGTGTCCGCCGAGAACTAAAAAATAAATATTAAAAAATTCTCTCTCTCTCTCTCTCTCTCTCTCTCTCTCTCTCTCTCTCTCTCTCTCTCTCTTCTCTCATTCTCTCTTTAAAAAAAAAAAAAAAAAAAAAAAAAAAAAAAAAATTCCTGATTTAGGAGGCTGGGGATATAGCTCAGTTGGCAAAGTGCTTGCCTCACGTGCACAAGGGTTCAATCCCTAGCACCACAAAAAGAAAAAAAAAATTTCTGATTCATACCGGGTGCAGCAGTACAACACACCTGTAATCCCAGCCATTTGGAAGGCTGAAACAAGAGAGTCACAAGTTCATGGCCACCTAGGCCACTTAGTGAGTCTGAAGGGCTGGGAGTGTAGCAAGTAGTAAAGCATTCCTGGGTATAATCCCAAGTACCCACCCACCTACCCCAAAAAAGAAAAAAAAAAACCTCCTGATTCACCCTAACTTCCTGTCATCTTGGGTAATAATGTATGTTACTTCT